CTCCACCACAATCACATAACAAGAGCAAAACACAGCTTCTACAGTACGGACCACCCCGTGGGGATTCCTGTTTTGGGCAAAGTCTCTGGTGAAAAAAGACACGGAGATCAGAGCCCCGGGATCAGATAGGGGTGGTTGTGTCTGAGGAAAAGACCTGCACGGAGCAGCAGATTTCTGCCCTAGATTGGTGGTTGGCAAGGCGGAAACCAGCCCCAGCGCTGGTCTGGCACCTCCCAAAGGCTTGGGAGCGATGGCTCCTCCCTTGGTTTCTCCCCCACCCTTGGCCGTGGATATAAGGACCCCAGGAGCAGCCTTGGCCATCACAACCCGCTCCAGCGAGGCAGAGAGCGAGCAGCACCTCCAGACCCAGCACCTCTGCTCTTGAGAGAGTGACCCAGAAGACCTTCAGCATGGGTAAGAGCCTCTGCAGCCTGGCTGCAGACACCTGCCTTGAACCCCAGTCCCACCTGGGGACGGGTGGGTTTGATCTTCTGCTGAGCTGCAGGAAGGAGAGATTTGGGATGGAACTTTGGCGTTTGGTGCCAGAGGTTTCTTTTGTCTCACTGTCCATCTGCTTCCAGGGGATCTCTTTGCCTTGAGAAGCAAAGTCTGTGATTCCTCAGTGTTGTAACAAGACCCTGGTCACAGAGGTCCCTATTGATAGTTGGGGTGGGAGAAGGTCCATGGGGTGGGACAGAATCTTCTCAATAGGCACCTTTTAAGGATGGGGACACTTCTCATTTTATTGTTCTCTTCTTTCCAAAACAGACAGATGCAGAGTTCAGTGCTACGACTACCCCACCTGCCCGGATGTGAAAGGCAAGTTCTCTTGAGTGTGTTTGGAATTGGGGGTATTTGGGAAAGAGCTCCCTGTTGATGGAGATGACCAGTAATTAACTGTGCTGAGTCCCTGGCCCCAAAAGAGAAAACTGTAACAATGTGGAGACCCACTTGTGTTCTCTTGCCTCTGGGCCAGTAATGGATGAGTTGGGTTGGAGAGTTGTGAGGAACAAAGAGGAAGGTCGTAGCATTCAGGAAGATGAGTTCAGTCCCATCTGAGAGTCTGTTGAAGCTTTTTTTTTTCCTTTCTGGCTGGTCCATGGCACATTTTAACTGAGGCTTTCTGTCTCCCCAGCTCCTCGAGAGGAGGTTGCCTACGTGACCTGTACCTACAGGGAGACGTGCATCGACCAGCCTGACTTCCTGGCCACCATCGATCTCAACCCCAGATCTCCACATTATTGCCAGGTACCTGGGTCTTGGCTTTCCATTGGGCTGGGGCCCGGCTGCTGGCTCAGCACTTTGTAGTGCCCTGAGATTCAGGACATTTACTCTCTTTAGCTGGGAGAAATCAGATTGCTCGGTAGCCACTCTGTCACGCAGGCCGTCTGTCCATGCCTTGCACCTTCTTCAGGTCTTCCTGCCTCTTTCTGCATTTTCCACCCTGGCTTGGCTCTCGCCTGCCCTGCCTGGTCACCTCCTGGCTGGGAAACCCTTGGGAGGTTTGTCATGGCAGGTCTTCCTCTTGCTTCTCCACTGGTGTTATGGTGAGATAGGGATGTTGATTGCCTGGAATCTCACCTTCCTGCTCCCTTCCCACTCTCCTCTGTTTGCCTGGCTCTGGTTGAATCTCCTCCATCGCTGTGTCCTGGGGACAGGTCGCCTCTGACTCACTTCCCAACTCACTTCCAGAGCATCTTGGTGCTGCTGGTGAGCTTTGGAGCACAGGCTCGGAATCACCCTCTCAGGGGCTGCTCGGGGTGGAAAATGGTCTCTAGGGATGCAGGAGGTTTAGAGGATCCAGCACGTGTCTCTGTCGTGCTGCAGTGTCAGAGCTTATCATGTTACCTGCACCAGGGGTGTAAATATGACTGATTAGTCCATTGCTACCAGAGCTTAGAAGGAAATGCACTTTAAAGCCAATATAGGCTTCTGGAAATTTTTAGCAGATTTTAAATCCAGTCTTAGGAGGATTTTGCAGAGCGATGCACTAGTTTGATCAATATGATAATCATAATTTCTTGCTATACACGATTTTCTGCATTTTGCTGTCATGGGGAGAGGAATTTAGAAAGAACCTCCACATTTCTTGGCTGTGCCCAGAACAAGGAGCAGGGTCTCCAGAGAAAGTCCCAGCTACAGTCGAATGGAGTCCACAAAGACAGGAGTATCTGCCAGCGTTAGGGTCCCCGTTTCCCCCTCTTTCCCCCTGTGTGCCCCCTAACTCTGCCTTGGCTGCCTAGGTGATCCACCGCCTGCCCATGCCCAACCTCAAGGACGAGCTGCATGCCTCGGGGTGGAGCACGGGCTGCACCTGCTTTGACAATGTCTCCACCAGAAGGAACAAGCTGATCCTTCCCTGTTTGATTTCTTCCCGCATTTACGTGGTGGATGTGGGGTCCCAGTGCCGGGCCCCCAAGATCTGTAAGGTAGGCCTGAGGTGATGGCAGGACCAGTTTCTGGGAAGGAGTTGGGAACCGGTGCTTCTGGGATAATCCACGGGGAAGAAGGGTTCTCTCTTCCTCTTCTCTCTCACCCTGATTTAGGACACCTCGGTCAGGTTTCCCTCTGCCCTTTTCAGACCGGAGAAGGCTCCGATCCTCATTGTGTTCCTTTCCATGTACCCGCTGCATTCAGAGGGTCAAAGGAGTGGAAGTCAGGCAGCACCTCCTGCTTCCCCCCAGCCAAACAGAGGAGCTGTTATGGGTTGGGTGTTGCTCAGAGGGGAGCCCAGAGGCTTCTCTTCTCCCCGAGGAGGAGTAGGCTGGCCCTGGCCAGAGGGTGTTCCTGGAAGGAGAGCTGCTGGATCATCATCAGGGATTCCCCGAAGTCTCGGGTGGGCACAGGCTGTGCCGGGGAGGGTGAGCTGTGCTGAGGAGTGGGAGGCTGACATGTGTGCGTGTCACCCCTTTGCAGATGATTGAGCCAGTGGACGTCTTCTGGAAGTGCAACAAGGGGTACCTCAACGTGCCTCGCAGCCTGCCCAACGGGGACATCCTGATTGCCAACGTGGGAGATCCAGCCGGCAACTCCAAAGGTGCTTTGCCCCGTGATAGCTCCTGCCAGAACCCTCTGCCTTGGGAGGGGAGCGTGTGCTTTGTCCTGAAACCCTTCTTGTGTCCCAGGTGGGTTCATTGTGCTGGACGGAGAGACCTTTGAGCTGAAGGGGAACTGGGAGAACGAGTGTGAGGCCCCCCCAAGCGGGTACGACTTCTGGTACCAGCCGCGCTACAACGTCCTGGTCAGCTCTGCTGGGATGGCCCTCAAACGCGCGGGACGAGGATTTTGTCCCAGCGACCTGAAGAAAGGTGAGGGAAGAGGGATGTGGGAGCTGAGCTGGGACTCACCGGGGCGATGGGAGGGTGTGAGAGGTCCGTGGGTGTCGCGTTTGGGGAGGGATGAGTGTCCAAGGGCAGCCCCCTCTGCTCTTCTGACCGGCTTTTGGTTTCCTCAGGGGTCTACGGGCGCCGCCTGAACGTGTGGAACTTGTCCTGCCGCTCGCTCACGCAGTGCTTTGACCTGGGGGAGGACTCTCTGCCCCTGAGTGTGAAATTCCTGCACAACCCCGAGGCCGCCGAGGGCTACGTCAGCTGTGCCCTGAGCGGCGTCGTCTACCGCTTCTACAAGTGCGAGGCAAGTGCTGTGCCAGCAGCGGGGGAGCCGGCCCGGCCTGCGCCCGCAGGAACGCTCACGGCGCCGTGCCTGTGTTTCTTGTGCAGAGGGAGAACTGGGCAGTAGAAGAGGTGATTCGGATCCCGGCCAAGGACGTGTCGGGCTGGATTATGCCCAAGATGCCGGCCTTCACCGTGGACCTCATCATCTCCACGGATGACAAGTACCTGT